CACACATCCCAACGAGCACACAACACAAGCAGAGTTAACAATGTGGCCGGTGATGGGTATGAGCAGATGCTACCAGTCAGCCGTCAGCATTATTTTCCCATTTCAAGCGTGTCAGTTTAGTTTCCATCAGTGAAATCACCAGCCGATACTATTCCAAAACTGTCTAAATGGCAGTTCATATATTTTTGTTAACTCCATGACTCCATGATTATTGCCGGGGACCAGCGCTGCTAACTGGGCAAATAGGAGCAGCGTGCCATGTGCCCAGTTATCCGACGTAATACCTAACAGCCTGCCAGCCGAAACTCGCTTGTTTTCCCTATACAGTGTACCATAGAACGTATGTTCATCTGAACATTCATGTTACATGGTCAGGACCCTGAAAGCATTGTAGCCGCGATAGATTATTCCCCGGGGCCCACCATGACCTGTTGGGCACAAAGCCACAGCGTGCGTTAAGGCCGACGCAATACCTAACCGCCTGCGAACCTGATGCAAGGCTTGTATGCGGTTATGTGCATATACAGTAAAACGTGTTCGTCACGCATTACAAAACAGAAGAAACGCTACGTGAGTGCTGGGTAATGAATGAGAAAGTCTACTTCCGGCTGGTAACGGCCGTCGCCAAATCACCATTTTGAACCAATACTCATTTCCATTACGACCGACTGCCATGAAATGTCCACTTTGACTCCAGGACATAACTTTGCTACACTTAGAAAGCACTGGATGTCCAAATGATTCATGAACAAACTTGCATTGAAATCTGTCGAATGGATGTTAGCAATAGTGACCGTTGATAGACATAAGCGGACTCTTTACGCTTCGGCCGCTACCATTGTCTGGGCATTTCGAACGTGCCGGCATAGTTTAAATAGATGATATTAATAGCAATAACATTTTAAAACTATGCATACAATTTCGCTATCACAATGGAGATAGCGGACCCATTCCTCCTGAACAAAATGTCAGTCGGGTGTACCCACTCGGAGTTACCAGTAGGGCCGATGCTAGGCGCAAAGTGAACTCTTTACGTTTCGGCCGCCAGTATGATTTGTTCATTTCAAACGTGTCCACGTAGTTTTCATCGCTGTAACGACTGGTGGACATCATTCAAAGCTGTTTAAAAACGGCATCTGAAATATTTTAGCCCCGGTTAGCTTTTCACGGACAGCACCACGGCCTATTGGGCACATAGCCAGAGCGTGCGCTAAGGCCTACGCAATACCCACACGCCTTCGAACGTGAAACGCGGTGCGTCTACGACTAAATGTGTTTACCATGAAATGTATGTTTACCTGAAAAATTAAGTCCAACGATTGCATATGACACATGGAAAAACGGTACTCATCCCAACAAGCACACAATAGAACAGGAGTTACCAATAGGGCCGGTGATAGGCTTAAAACACAGCTCTTTACGCATCGGCCGCCAGCATGGTCTGTCCAAATCAAACGCTTTCTTAAAATGCTGTTGTTGATAGTCGCATCGATTAAAAGTTAATTGGCATGTTTGAAATGGGTGTATAGGGCTGACGGCCGAAAGGCAAACACTACGATTACGCCCATCAACGGCCACACTATTGGCTCGAAGCGGACTCACCTACAAGGCATTTTGTTCAGAAATAATTTCAAACACCGTGCAGTCGTTTCCAAATGCAGCAAAGTAACGTCACGCATTGAAATTGGAGAGTTCAGAGCAGACGGCCGGAAGGTAAATTGAAGAGTTGGGCTGCAGTTGTATACAAGGTCTGGCGTTGGCACCCGAAACAGACGGAGGAACGTCTCAGAAAGCAAATGTGCTTATAGTCATATTGTAGTCGATTATTCCCATCCATTGCCATAACTTTAATGTACTACATACATTCTCAGAGTGTCTAATGGTGAGCGTGCCATAAGACTCACGGAACCCGCGTTTCAATTCTAGGAGAAACCATTGCCGTCTAAATCGTATCAAAATGGTGTCCACCAGTGGTTGCACCGATGGACACGATTTTGGAATGTTTGTTAAAGACCGATAATGCTGGTAGACGAAAACGTTGAGTCAGGTCATGCGTTTTTCCGGCCACATTAGCAACTCAATGTGGACATGCCTGAATGCGGTTTGTTCATGGATCACTTGGACCTCCTTGCAGTAGGTTTCTTGAGGAAGCCTGCTGGGAAAGGTGGTTTTCCGCCATAATCAGGTTCCCTAGTGATACGAAACGAGACCGTAACTCAAGCCACGTGACGTCTTGAGCAGTAGGCAAAACGCAGCTTTTTTTATTCATTTATTTTTCAAATAGCATAAGAATGTAAACCACGAGTACGTAGGTAGATGCGCGCACAAAACGTATCCCACTGGAAGTTTTCAACGGATGACCGATACATTCGTCCCAGTGACGTCATCCGTGGGATGCAGGAGATGTGTTATTGCGAACACACGCTTGGTTTTCAATGCTTTTATCATAAGCGGCTGGTGCATCCTTGTGATCTTGTGAGAAGTAAAAAAAGGTCCATTTTTCACCTTACTACCAGTGACGTCATGAGCAGCACAAAACTTGTCGTTGGGATGATTTACCCATCCTGGCAGCGACGTTCCGTCAGCTGGTTAGCCGGGCCTCATTACAGACCTAAGCGGACGCTCCTCCCTCCGCAAACATTGTCGGCCGGAAGGTAAAGAACACCACTTCCCTGCCTGATGATGACAAGGTCTGTCAGCACATCATCTTGGTAGGTACAGAGATACAGGGTATATTACAACATATAATGACTGGTTCAATACGGCGCACCTAGATCGGCTTAATATGAGTGTCTCAACACCAAAAATGTAAACCAAACATTCGCCACTCACCCTTTTGCCGCGGGAGCACGAAACTGAGACAGTCCTGCGATTGGAGAGGCAAAAATAGTTTTATGCGTATCGGAGCACCATATCATAGTTTTCCTTTACCGTTCCATAGCGAATACCTTCACCTTCAGAAAATAGTGCTCTCTTCCCTCCCCCTCTCTCTCTCGGCAGCCTGGGCCGCGGGAGGGGAGGGGCGACCCCTGTCGTTGTTCGCTAAGCATGTAGCCCGAACTCGGCTGCCCGGTCCAACCAACGAGCCACGTCGCACCCTCGGTATCTCGGTATCGTCGGTAGATACCTATTACCCCGCGTCGGAGCCGCGGCGAAATATTGGCTGGGTCGGTTTAATCACTTCATTTCTGTGGTCCCACCGTAATCTAGCAGTCCAATGTTTACAGGGGGCCGGCGCCAGCCAGACCTATGCGCGTCATGTAAATGAATGCGGTCGCCGAAAAGCTGCTGGTGAACGTTGAGCAGCGTGTACATGTTTTGTGTTTTCTCTACAGTTCCGAGTAGCGTCCCTGAGCCATAACGCAGCCCATCTTGCCCAGCTCACACTGTCAAACTCATATCTTGCAGGACCCCGTTTTCCCTGGCTTGCTACGACCTCTGCTGGTTTAGCACCCATGAGCATTGAACTGTGGAGTTCTATTCAATGATCTTTTGAAATATACATTCGTACAAAGTGGCCCAGCATTTTTATACTATTTGTAAAATACTTCAGAAAGGCTAGCTATTTTACCATTTTCCTGCGACCCCACAACACATGCCGATTCATTATCATGCGCTTTGAAAGGGATCATGGAGTGCGAGAAACTGAGAGACTTGGCGCAGAACTTCACTGAGCGACAGAAGCCCCACGAGGGAGCAGGACCACACACCGCACTCAACCAGAACACCAACTGAACTGGGAAAACGTCCACCTGCATATCGCACGATCAGAGGCCTGAATTATCTCCCAAACGATCAGCACAAAGGTACATGGAAGCGTTCAGGAGCCGCTGTGACGTCATCTAATCTTACCATGACATGACGAGCGTCGGTGGGTATGTCCAGTGTACGTATGCTTGAGCACGTATGTGGATGTCTTTTTCCTGCGCCATTGCTTCTGGGTTTTTTTATAGTGCTGACGGAACATGACGAGCCATCGGGCCGATGGAAGGTTTTAAAATAAATGCTGAGGTTAACACTGGATAAAGGCTACAGAAATCCGTTATCCGCCCATTTGCTTTTTTCAAGCACTCGGCTCTAGGTTGTAAAAAGTATATATATATATATATATATATATATATATATATATATAGCAAATTTATAGTCTATTTTCCTACTGAGCACCCCGCACAGAGCAAAGGACCGCCAGCCACGTGCAGTTACCTTCCTCGTGCAGGGATACTCGTCAGTCTTCAAACATTTCGGTTGTCGAATTTTTTGGCTCATTCGTCAAAGATGAAATAAAATCCCGCGTTTCAAATTGGCAATATTTTGCCGATAATTTGTCATGACCAATTGCTTCCGGAAATTCAACGCACAAAACTCCGAGAAATGGAGTAACGTAGTGACGGCCTGAATTTTAAAAAAGTAGCGACCGTAAGAGTAAAGAAATCTGCTCGATCCACTTCATTTTAGCGATGTCGTTGGAGTGCGGCTAGATCTTTCAATGTCCTCGGGTCTCAAGAGCATTTTGATAGCTTTGTGAAAATATCAATCTGGCGCACTATTGACGTTATCCCGGCGTAAATAGCGGATTAGCGTACTCGCGGTGAATGTGTATAGGGGCCTTCACATTTTTGCTGTAGCCAGGCTGAAAAGCAGTTCCATTGCGTGACAGAGTGACCGAGCAATGGACAGTGACCACATCTGCTCAAATGCTTGAAATATTTTCACCGCATACCATATGAGGCGAGGCATGTTAACTGTATTCGAGAAAAGCCAAGCACGCTGATGTAACTAGCCCTAGTATGGAGCTGCTACCAACTACCACTGGGAATTCAGTGATCTATGCCACCGCAGACCCCATCGCCACGTTGCATAAACAAATACTGGAGCGGCCGACAAGTGGTATGAGGCGGGCCGGTCGTCAGTACGAGCGTGGAGCGCACGTCGGAGGGTAGCGCGGCGCGACATCAGGCCGAGGCGCAGTCTTCCTCTTACTGGACGGCCGCTCAACCACGATGGCCTGTCGAATAACGCGCTGCTGCGGCTGCCTGGGCCTTCGCCAGGGGTCTCTGGCCATCGCCATCACCCTGCTTGTGCTGACCACCTTAGAGCTGATAGGATTCATCGTGGTGCTGTCACTGGGCGAAGACGCGTTTCGTGACATTGTTGATCCTGAGCAGCGGATGCAGGTCGTCACCGTTGTGCGCATCGTGAGCAGTATTGGTCTCGTGCTGTCGCTGGCGTCGCTGGCTCTGCACGTCACGCTGGTGTACGGGGTGCGCCAGGAACGACACAGATTGATCCTACCCTGGCTCATAGGCATCGGCATCATTCTCGGCCTGAGCTCTCTCGCTCAGGTCCTTGATTTCATCGACGCGGCCGTCGTCGGCGAGAAATGGACCATCGTCGTCGCTACTCTTCTGCTGGGCTTGTACGGCGTCGCGTGGTACTGGTTCGCCGTGGTGCTCACCCACTACCAGACACTGAAGGCGGCGCACCAACAGTTCAGCTCCCATCGCTTGGAAACTGAAGAGAGCCCCATGGCGTAGAAACGTGTCTTGAATGCGGCTTGGACGCGTTTTGACTGACGAATGAGTGATGCGCAGCGCAGGCATGCTACGGTGCTTACCAGTGCTCACTCAGTGCTCATCGGCGCGCGCGTGTGTGTAGGGGGAGGGGAGGGGAGCACTGCCACCGAACGTGGCACTGCTCGGCGAAGCACTCATCACGGACGGAGAATAACTCGCAGCCGAGCGTGAAGTCCGAAACTCTCAGAAAACCGCGAGACTCGTCTCGGACTGGGCACGAACCGGCGGCCGGAGCGCGCACCGCTGACCGCCCGCGCGCCCGGCTCAGCATCTGGACGACGGCGGGCAAAGTTCGCGGAGGCCCGGCGGTGGACCTTTGGGCGGACTGGCGTCAGACGGCGCGCTGGCTGCCGCGAGGCGCGCGGCGCAGAAGCGTCACACGTGTGAACCGTGCGCGGGTGTCGCGACTGAAGGGGTGAAGGTGCTTGGGAGCGGCGCGGACCCAAGCTCAGCTATGAGGGAGAGTGACCCAGTGTTCCGAGGGATTCGGCACTGCTTGGCCACTGGATTACTTGGTCGCGCTGTGTATTGAAAGAGGGAAGTAACGGCAGATGCCACAGATGCGTCGGTAGGCGGCAGAGTGCGGCCATGTTTGTGCCAGTGATCTATAACCGTTTCCTGTTGTCGGTGGTAAGCATTTTTAGAGGATCTGCTAATAATCATGACGCGAATTTGTCAAAGTAAGGTTGACTTGCCCAGTCGGCAGTTGGCGAGGTCATCAGGGAAATATTCACACCAAGCATCACATAGCTTTTTGTCAGCCTTCGAGTTCCTGGGTGTTTATAGAAGTTCGGTGTGGGACATGCTAAAGCACTTGGAGTAACGTGGCATCACTCTACCAATAAACACACCGAGAAGTGCCCAAACATCGTGAAAACGGCGTCATAAATGTTAGTGCGTGCATTAAAGCTGGAGTTGTGAAAATAGAACAGGCCAGAAGACAATATCAGTAAAAGTAACGTGTACATAATTCCTGTAAACTAGCAACGTTACCGAAAGCAACACGGAAAGTATCCATGATGACCAAAGATAAAACGGCATATAATACAACGTTAACACCGGTTATCAAAGGGCCATTAAGTGCTGAATAACCCTCTAAACAGTGTGATGAACGATGGAGCCTTATTTACTGAAGTGGGGTCTGACATGCCTGTATATATTATACGCTGCAACAACAACGCACCAATTCATATTACGTTGGATACAACAATTAAAGTCTTGTGATCCTAGTTTTCGGGCACTGTAAGTTCAAAGTTCTTGTGCTGACAGCCATCGGCCTTCACCAGGAGGTCGCGATCGTGAGCATAGCTTCAAACGAGCATTAACAATATCACATATGTCTGCTTAATGACGTCATTTAACCAGCACCCTCTGGACTATTGGATGACGATACCGTCACCATGCGAGTGAGGAATTCATAACTCACATTGCGTCACGATTGCAACGCACGTTTCCGATGGGGGTGACTGCGTATGTTCCCGATGGGGGTGACTGCGTATGTTTCCGATGGGGGTGAATGCGTATCTGGCCACCTCACCACCAATCATCTTAGTTGGAATGAATGCAGAGAAACACCAATGCCAACAGGCAAGTGAGCCTGTACTGTAGCAGGATAAGTGACAAGAGGAGCCATAATTCGCAATCATTGTTGAAAAGGCCGCGTGGAGGAAGAATACTCTGGGCGTCCCGCAAGCGTCGCGTGTTGCAGCTCTCACCCTGCCCTTCTCGATGAATTACGAGCACCGTATCGGCAGGATGATGAGAACCCCGCATACTTCAGCTACGTTTTTTGGAGAACATGCGAGGTATAATCAAGCAAGGAGTTGACGAGGGAGATTAAAGGCCATCTAACGGCCGGGCTAATTGCCAAAGTTCGCCGGTCAATTGGCCCCATCGACCCGGATGTGCCAGAAAACAGGACGAAGAGGGTTCGCGCGCATACGCCTAGCGGGCAGCTGTAGACCTGAATCGGCCATTGACAGACAAAATGAAACACACTTGGTTAACCCTATACATGCAGCATAACTGCAGTATGAAAAACTTTAATTTAATGCACAATTCTAGCCTTTGTTATTGGACTTTGTTCTAGCACTGTGGGCATTTGTGTTTTGCAACCGTAGTTTGGAAACCGTCTTAGTTAAAAATGTCCATAGAACCCATACAGACATTTCAAGACGATATTTCAAGAGCAAGGACGAGGCTCTGGGTAAACACTGCGTTCTTTGCCGTGAACACGCGCGGGATGTACTTTAGTTTAACTTTCTCGCCCGTTTGAGCACATTACTCGAGCACACCAGCCATTGCACGGGCCCCATCCTGAGAAAATAAAGAGGTCCTCAAATAAAAAAGAAATAATCCAATGGCGGCCAGCTGGCTGGGGTCATGTCCTCTGGACTGTGAACGGGCAGACATGATCTGCTTTCAGACTTGGTTTTCAGACAATTAGCGTTATCGTTGGAGCTAAGCCTCCTCCGAGATTGGATGTTGGATGCACCCTCGGCCGGCACGTTTAAGCTTACCACGTAAAGGTGGTGGCAGCGAGTGGACGTCATTAAGCTTATTCAGATGTGGCTTAGGTAAGAGTTAGGTAAAGTCGAAGCCCATACAAGCGTGATTGGAACGAGAAAATCGCTGAGATAGTAATGTCGCAGAAATGCTTTTTAGGGAGAGGCTGTTTAGGCGTATGTTTAAAGATTTTAGTTCGTTCATGTAACTATTCGTTTGAAATAGTAAATTCCTGTCATTTTATCCACTAATGAGTTGCCCCTCGTTAATCAATCTAAAATGGACCGATAACAGATCTAGGTGACCGTTATTGTACTTTCATTATGATGCACTGAATGACAGCCGAGATGTTTTTGGTACGCTATGGGGCCTGCACCCTCCCCTGTTCTAGCATTCGGCTCACAACAGCTGTTAAAGATTTTCGGATGTAATCCGGGTTTTCATGAGGCTTTTTGTAGTTAATTTAGCGATGGTGTACGTGTCATCTGTATCATCAAGAACTTTTTAGTTATTGCCCGCTAGTGTAATGGGTGGTTTCTCCGGACCTCTGAGATTGCCAGGGCTTGGCGACTTGCCCGCCGAGAGTGTTCTGAGATAGTGATAATAAGAGCGCGCGGGCAGGCACGTGGCCAGAATTTCTTCCGAGGATGTCGAGCTTTCCAACTTCCCGCCAATTTGGACCAACTTTCTGCGCAATGGTTCAGTATGTAGTATAAGCGTTTTGGATTAGGAAGGGCATAGCTCCCATGACACCCAGGCTAAATGTTGGTGTATAACCTACGTTGCACCTACGTACTTGATTGCTTGGCGGCAAGTTATGTTCCAGAGGAACGAACGCAACTTCTGTCAAGAAATAACAACGAAATAAATAAATAGTTAACAAAGTGCGCCATAGACACACACGCGCATGCCTGCATCGTATGCGCACCTGCTTGTGTCTACAGCTGTTCCACTGCACTAACGTCTAGGGGTAAACGTCATCCGGGTTTTACTGGCATGCGGAACAAATTACCACCCATCTGGTCATACAAGACCAGCTGACTATCATTATGAATCAGTGCACCGCGTGGCCTGTGTGTGGAATAGTCGACATTTGAAAGCATTGCTCTGACGCTTAAAAGAGAGCTTCTGCTCATCACGTGTACAGTACAGCACTGTCAGCAGCTGCCGACGAGTGGGCCCAGCCGTACCCCAATGTTTACGTGAGCCCTGTCATTCCTCTCTGGCCTGGCACCGACTGCTTGGTTGCGCAAAATCCTGTTCTTGCACGGGATGGCCATTTTTATAAACAGAAGCCAGTGCAAAATTATTCGCCAATATCCTGCAGATGGAGTATGCAGCCGTTGCGAGCAGCCTGAACTGATTAATACGGTGCCTCCGCCAAACTGTTAATGGGGATGGGGGTGGAGGTTGGGAGCGATTACCGAAGGCGTATACAGAGTTCAAGTCTCTGGTTTTTTTTTGCCTGGCTTTAGACACGGCACAGCATACGTGGTAGCTTTTGAAAGCCGCAATCCGCGGAGTGTCTGGGTTTACCATCCATGGCGTACTTACAGAAATCATGGCTGTCGCTGCGTGCCTCTATTTAGTTAAGGGTCGAGCGCAACACGACCGCCTCGCCCGGCCAGGTCAAACGGGGACCTTTCAAGCTGCAGACTATCAATAGCCACACAACCCGAACCGTCGCACATCCGTCACACCACACGTCACGCGCGGACAACCGACGCTGAGGACGCTGCGCCTCCCCATAGCTCCAAATGAGGCGCGTGACTTTGCAGTTCCGGGTGTCGTGATGCACGCCTGAGTCTCGTGCCTGGTGACCAGCCACGTGACGTCACGACGTGACGGCGCCGGAAACCGACGCTGGGCCGTCCAGCGCCCCAGCTCGGCTGGTCACGGCTCGGGAAGAATGGTGTCACTCGGTCGACTTCACTGAGCAGCGCGTGCTCTCCTCGGTATGGCGCTGCATCTCCGGAAACCGGAGGCTGAGAAACCGGCACCGAGCGGTACGGTGAAACAAACGTCAGACCAAATCATCCAGCATGGCAGTTCGCCGATCTTTGCCCCATCATTATTGCGCTTGAAAATTCCTTGTGACGGAGAGCGCTCCATCCAATGGCTCGCTTAGCTCGAGCGCCTGACATCCGGCCCACCCACCCACGGCGGGATGGGCTCAAGTCGCCTTAGGTGCTCACTATTTTTTCCTGACTGGGATGGTCTTGGGCCGGTGGCAGCAGTTGCATTAAAAGTCAGGCGACATCAGAAAGCTGAACGGACAGCGAAGGACATTTCGGCAAGTTAAAGGAACGGCTCTACATTTGTATGGGATTTGGAACAGGAGGTCGTTGGAGATCGTTCTATTTCTAGAGATATATTCTATCTAGAGATCGATCGCCATCTTGGAGATCGTTCTATGCAGTTCACAGGCCTGCCCCTCTTAAGATCTAAGCCCCTCT